GGTGGGGAACAGTCTTCCGCCTGTTGCGCCACAGATCTAGAATCGAAGAAAATGTGGACGTTAAGGGAGGTGCTATATGACAATGACAAATTTTTCGCCTGATAAAATTCTGAAAAAAAATCCATAAAATTTGGTAACACATTTAATAATTGTGCTAATCGTTCGATTTTTTGCTCAAATTCAAAAATTTGACGTCCAAACAGAACAAAACATGAGTAGATTATACATTTCTGAATACCATGTACAAACACATCTATCCTGTCATTGAAATAAAATCTGCTTCATTATAAGGGGTACTAATAAATCCACCACCCTGCTAACAGTAATACGTTATAAGAACGTTACAGTTTTGATGATAAAAACATTATTTTGTAGAATTAATTTGTACGTACTTATTCAAGCGTTTGAGAGTCACAACGTTTGAAAACGTTCTTACACCGTTGTGTGAACGCTGTCTCTTATACACATCTAGATGTGTATAAGAGACAGGTACATAAATTTAAATAAAACAGAATAAGTAAACTGGATCTTAAAATGTCTGACTGCTGACAGGATAAATGAATTGTTTAACTGGTTAGTCTTTACTTTAGGGTGGATGTAAATTATTAGCATTGACCATAACTATGTAGATGTTATCATGTTCCCAGGGGTCCAGCTAATAATTGGAACAGCACAAATAATTTGACAGTTGAATCCTCTAAGAAACTGACCGAATTATATTTGTATGATAGCGAAATATGGGACAACCCTTCAAAGTGTAGTAGGATTAATTGTGTCTCATCAGGGGCGGATCCAGAGTTATCCGAAAGGGGGGGGGGAAGCCCCAATCCAGAAAAAAAAACCACACTAGGGGTTCCAGCATTCTCCCGGAAAATGTTTGTTTTCTAGATGCCTACAAATAACCTTTGAGGCATTTTGGGCGATCACTAATTTTTTTTTCTTATTATTTTTCTTGTTTTTACTTTCCGAAAGAGGAGAGGTGCCGCCCTCACCCAAATCCGCCCCTACTCACAGAAACTTGGTAACCTATTACTGTACATACTTTAAATGTTATA